GTGTTGGGATTAAAGGCGTGCACCACCAACGCCTGGCCAGAGTGTTATCTTTTTAACTCAGCCATTTTTCTCAAACTAAAGTGTGTGTATTTCTTGTTTGAAACCTGAGACACGAAGACTCTTAAGTCACAAATGATGTACTGTAGCTATGGACCGGATAGTCAAATTTATTTCAGAACAAAAAAGCTTGGTTGGGCTGCATCAAATGCAGAAGAATAATTAAGGGCAAGGTTAAATTACCAGTGTGCATAAACACTGAGGTATACCTCAAATAAGCCTTTAAACTGTAAAACTGAACTACAACATACCCATGCAGTAATTTTTTTTTTCAGTGCCACTAATGAGAAAATAAAGCCCGCTCTGGAAACTCACAATATGACAGTTCTGTTGCTCCTGCCCTTTGACCTCATTCAGGCTTTATGACAGGGTATGTGTTCCAAACCTAAACATTTTCACAAGATTTAAACATCACCTGGAAAGTTGAATTTAGAGGAAACACAAGTACAATGCCCATGGCAGCCAGTACTGTGTAACTGTGCCGCGTGAGGTTGTTTAGAAGGCTGGGGTTAAAAAGATAGACAAAGAATTTAAAAAATTACCCCCAATGTTGATGTGCTGATTTAAATTTAAGTACACCAGATACTACAGCAAGGGGATACACTGCAAAAAGGTCGTCTATTTACAGAAGAGTGATTTAAAGACATCATGGTTTGTTTGTTTTTGTTTTGTTTTTTTTTTTTTTTTACAAACAGATGTAAGAACAGGAATTGTCCACTTTTAAAAAACTCTACACTTCAACCTTCCTCCACTTACAATCCATTGAGTTGCCTGTATTAGAGGCAGTTTTTTTGTTTTTGTTTTTTTTTTCCTCTCATTTGATTTTCCAAATGAATTTCCATCATTTCTTCATCTGTGGCCCTGGCTCTCCTGAGAAGTCTCTGGGCACAAATCATAGGAGGACAGAATTTTTTTTAATCTGAAATTAAAACCAAAGTCAGAGTTCCCTTCTGTGCACAGATCAGTCGTCACTATCAGATAGGGTCTCGTACTGGAGAGCAGGGGGGCAGGTTCCCTCTCCCAAATGCGGTTCTGTTGATGGGGAGCTGCTTGGTTGATGGCCGAAGGGGCACATGCGATCGGTGTTGGTGGTGTACTGCTGAGCATCCTCATGGTCAGAGGGTTGTAAGGGAACTGAGTAGAGCCTGACAAAAGGAAGAGATTTTTAGTGTTATTCACATCTCATGCAGTATTTACAGGATGGAACAGGGCAGGAGTATTCTAGTAAAATGGTCTTGTGATGCCTTTAAAACAGAATAGATGATAAGTCTGTGATATCACATCATTCATCTTCATGGGGAATCCAAGCAGAGAGTCACTGAATATTAAACTCTAATTGGAGAAGCATAGCCATACTAGTAACTTTCCAATAGAAATCAGAAATACAGTTCTCAGAATGTGGCAAGTACCCAGAAACATTAGCAACACTTGTGATCTCTATGCAGAGTCTCACTTGGCTGATTTTAATGTGTCTCAGATTTAAAATGGAGCACAGTAACAGGAGCACCACTTGTCATTGTCGTTTCAAGATTGATTAACTGTCCTGTCCCACAGTACCTCCTGTGATTTTAAAGCAAAACCATGAAACATGCATTTTATCAAGTCGTCTTCTGATGTAATAAAAAATTCCTTCCCTAGAATAAACTAATGGAACACTTGAATAAAACCACTAGAAGCCAGGCAGTGGTGGCTCACAACTTTAATCCCAGCACTCAGGAGGCAGAGGCAGGAAGATCTCTGAGTTCTACAGAGCAAGTTCCAGAGAAACCCTGTCTCAAAAAAAAACAAAAAAAACCCCAAAACTGCCTGGCAGAACTGTAGTTTTCTCTATCGTTACTTGGGTCTACTTGGGTTACAGTGGGTGAAGGGTGAAGGGAAGGGGTATGGGCAGGGAAAGAGGAGGACTAGCAGGAGGGAGACATGGGCAGGGGAGGATGAGAACAAAGTACACTGACACATTTATGTGTGAAGATGCAGTGACTCCCAACACTTTGTGTTGTGGGCTAACCTACCTGCTAATGTATGCATTGCTTCTGTAAGAGATTACTAATACATAGTCCTTTACACATGGCATTAGAAGTTTAAAAGGCAGAAGCCTTGGAGTGTACAGGTATAACTATGAAATTGTTAGAAATACAGGGGGAGAGCTCATTTCAGATTTGGGGATGGGGAATAAATGTATATTAACCCATAAGGAGGGTGGAAAACACGATTCTCTAAAACTCTAAAATCCATAGCAGATATGCCAGTCTTATTTTTTTAATCTTCCTTTCAAAAAATGGCTACTTTTACAAAAAATATTTAATTCTTGTTTGTATTGTGTATGGTATGTGTGAGCCTGCTTGTGCCATGACATGGGTGGAAGTCAAAGGACAACTTTTGGCAGATTTATGTGGTTGGATTGAACTCAGGCCATTAGGCCTGAAGTTATTTTACAGTAAAGCCATTTCATCAACTCACTGATGTTATGTTTTCAAAAGCACATGAGACATTTGTGGAGATGTAAACCTTAGACATGATGGCTTTTGTTAAGGCATTATGCTTCCTAGTTCTGATTTTGATTTCTTAGTAAAAACTAAAGGGGAGTCACCTCATTTGCAAATACTAGTTACCAACCAGCATAGTCCAGAGACGATGATGTATGGACCACCTAAATATAAATTATCTTGTGAAAAGTAGATAGAGAAAACTACAGTTCTGCCAGGCAGTGCAGCACAACTTTAATCCCAGTGCTCAAGAGGCAGAGACAGGCAGATCTGTGAGTTCGAGGCCAGCCTGGTCTACAAAGTGAGTTCCAAGATAGAGAAACTCTGTCTCAAAAAAGAGTACAGTTCTTGCCAAACCATAACATCTAATTCACAGTCAGGTAATATTAACAAAGCACTGACACAAATTGAATCTCATTTTTATCAGTTAAACAAGGCCCCTCCACACTCCCCACCTGTTGAAGAGGGCCTGTCTTCCCAGGCCCATCCTGGTGTCTGCCTATGGTAATCACCTTCCGAATGTACAGAGGAGACTGAAGAAGGCCGTTCAGTTCCTAAGTAGCTTTGCCCAGGAATAGGAGATTTAGACTTCCGGCTGTTTGATTTGTTGATCAGCTTTGGTTTGCATACTCCTAAAAGTGAAATTCAAGCTACTATATTAACTACCAATAAGTAATTTTTCAGTGACAACAACAAAGCCTACCGAAATACTGATTATATAATACCAAGTGAAAAAACCCATAGTAGCAGCATGAAGAATCCAGATCCTATGCTTGACTAAAGATGCAGTGTGTCTTTAAGGAGGAGGTAGAGCACAGCCTCCTGTAAATTTAAGAGCATGGTAACTAAGGAAACACTGTTGGGCTGGAGGGTATAGGTAATGGTGATAACCATCTGCTTCCCTCTGCCTCTGCCCCCACCTCAATTTAAAAGCAGCAAGTGGAGGACTTAGGCCACTGAAAGTATGTAAAGGACAGACTGTATGCCTTCTCCAGGATCTCAGCAGATACTCTGCAAGTCTCACTGGCTCTTCCTAGTCCCCTCCCCACACATGACTGGTTTCTATAACAACAACAACAACAAAAATATTTAAAGAATCCACATCACTTAGCACATTTTTTTTTCTCTCAGCCCCAGCAGTTTTTACCCTAACCCAACTGCACACAGCCAGTATCATTTGAACTCCTTAATAGTTACCAATTGATCTTAAAAGACAGAAACATACAACCAATAAAAATTAGAAGACTTCACTTTCTAGGATAGTAGGTGAGTTGATACTACCTTCAAAGTTACTATGTGTTAAGTTGTAGGAGAGCTAGTAGCAAACACCAAACATTTATTAACCCTTAACCCCAGAAAAAATTTTACATGAAAATAGGAAATAAACCTAAAAACTATAAGAGATAACTTGATATAAATACTGAAAGCATAGTGTTCCTAAGATTTTTTTGTTGGTTGATTTATAGATTGTAAATGATTGCTACTACACATCTTGTGTTTGCAAAAGACTTTTTGAATAATTCCTATTCCTCCAATGGCTTTGGTGGGTTCCAACGAATCTTTAAAAAAATTATTTTGTCTGGGGTGCAGTTGTCAGTTCTTCTGTCCTCCTGGTCCTAGTGATCAAGCCCAGGTGGACAGCATTGATGACCCATGCCTTTGCCATTGAGGGGTTTTGTTCCATTTCTGTGGTCTCTTCTGTGGCTTGCAGCTACATTGGTATTTGGCCATATTATTAGAATAGTAAATGACATAGCAAAAACAAAAAAACACTGGGGCTGGAGAGATGGTGCAGTGGTTAATAAGGACACTTGTTACTCTTGTCCAGGACCTCAGGTTAAAATTCCCTGCAACCTACATGGTGGTTCACAACCTTCTGTAACTCCAGTTCAAGTGAATTTAACATCCTCTTTAGCACAAGAGATCTCAGTGATGCATCACAACTTAAAGTAGCAGCAGAACACTGAAATAAAAACCTTACCTGGATGAGGTGAAGGGTCCCCTTCATCTCTCCGTGTGTCACTGCTGGTCACAACTGAGGTGCTGGCACTACCAGGCACAACTCCTACAGGTTGAGGCATGACAACACCATGATCTTCAACTTTATCATCAAAACTTCCCATTAGAGCCTTTCTGATGATGTCTTCTAGACCAAGATTACTGGCAGGATCAGCAAAAGAATGGCTTCTTGAGCTAACTGCACCTGAGGAGACAAGGCAGTGTACTGCTTCTTGTTTCTGAGGCAGATCATAACACAGCAAAACGAAGAAAGAACTTGGACTCTCCAACACTCAGACACTGCTGAGCATGACCTAGCATGATGCTGAGAAATTTCATGTTAAATGCAGCACTCATCAGGGTCATCCCTACTATTTCTTTGCTGTGCTCCCTCTTCAGCAAGTATTTAGAATTCATACCTGATGTAGTAACTGCTGGCAGATTGAAGATCTCAGTTCCTGGCTGTGCAGCTGCTGCATTCAAACAAATCTTTAGGTTAACTGAGATAAGATAATCATGATACACAGTCTCAAGAAATTCTAGAATAAAATTAACCTTTTGATTTTTTATATTTCATTCATGTGGAAATGAAAATTCTTGGGGCAGGGAAGATATTAATAAAAAAAAAATCAGGTCAGGTAAAAAACTCAAAACACAAATAAGATAAATCACGAAAGAGAAAGAGATGGTAAAGTACACTGCTGAGGGCAAAGCAAACAGGAAAAAGTCATTTGCAAAACAGGAATCCAGGCTTCCTAGGAATGGAGACTTGGACTTTAGACACCCCTGAAATGTATCAATAGTCAAGTTTGAGTGTTTAAAAGCCACCTCAGTGGATGGATAGTGTGGAAGCAACTCGCTACCAGAGCTAAGTGGAAACTTTCTGGACTCAGGATGTTCCCTGGATCAAAAAAATTTCTGCCTTGATCCATCACTAATTCCTGGTAACTATGCAATTTATAATTTGCAGCTTGACTAAAAATGAAATGAAAACCACTTATAAAATATTTTGTGCCAAAGGGGAAGGGACTTGGAGACACAAGTTGTTTCTATCATCACTTCTTATTTGCTGCTGAAAATGTTAAAAGGAAAAAACAATTTTGGAACTAAGACAATGCCTAAATGATACCTGATACTATACATTATGGGAAGATAGACTTTTTGCCTAAGGATGAGAGCTATCTATTGAAGAACATTAACATTAACATTCTTGATCAGAGCAGTTTAAGACCATGGACGGACATGGAGACGACCCCTAATAGCAAAAGGGACTGTAGAATATCTACTACAGCCAATCTGACTTCCAAAGACTGCACAGTGGGCAAAGTCAGCCTGAAATAACACAGTTTCTAGAACTTAACTTAGTGAACCATTACTGGCTAAACCATAATAGAGTAAAAGCAATAAAAGGTGACTCTGTGAGAGAGGGTGTGGTGGCTCATGTAAGCCTAGCACTTTGGAGGTAGAGGCAGGAGAATTTCTGTGCCAGAATTAAAGAATTATATGATGCATATACTTTATAATTCAAACAATTGTAATACCAAACACTCAGAATGAGGCACCCCCTTCAGTTCAAAGCTTACAGTTAATTGTGCTGCTTTCATGTATAGATAAGAATGCCCGGTAACATAATAAAATACCATCTTCTACTTGTTTTTAAAAATATAGACAGGCTCTTAAGTAGCCCTGGCTGTCCTGGAACTTCATGTAGACCAGACTGGCCTCCAGTCTCCCATTTTCTAAATTCTTGGAGCCTTAAATTTATGTACTTAGTAAGTCCTCAGATAGTCACGGTGTAGTGTGAGGCCTCATGTCTTAAAGATGTGACAATTGCTTATAAATGATAGGAAAGAAAGCACCTGAGAACTGACTTAACAGAGGAGGACAAGAAAATAGTAGATTGAAGATAGCTGGTTATGAAGATTGGGAACTTCATGCGGGCAGCAGAGTGGGTGTTCAGTTTTAGGAAAGATCCAGTAATATACGAGATAAAATAAACAGCTGGGCAAGGTGGCGCAATGCATGCCCTTAACCGCAGCTCTCAGAGGATCTTTGTGAGTTCGAGGCCAGCCTGGTCTACAAAGCAAGTTCCAGGACAGCTAGAGCGGTTACACAGAGAAACTGTCTCAAAAAACAAACAAATGCTAAACTTCAGACACAAATTCATAGGTTTTTAGTATGAAATTCAGTTTTAAATGCCCCCAAATCACAGTGTGTAAGGGAAAAGGTGTTGAGAGCACTGGAGAAAACAAGGACCAGGCTGAGTTGAAGAAACTAGAAATGGCCCAGTAAGTCACCATCTGAAGCAACTGAAGAGCTAACCCTGCCAAAGGGAGGTGACACACTGTCACAACTGTGAAGCCACCAGTAAAGTGAGTGCTAAAAAAACAAGGACACTGTTCTGTCCCACCGGGAAACAAATTGAGATACTAAGTCAAAGCAGTTTTCTTGGTGTGGGTGGCTTTTGGGTTGTCAGCTCTATTTCCCAGTAAAGATTCTATGGTGCCCTAGAATCACTGGTTATTTAATATAAATTCCCTTTTTTTTGTTTTATTTGTTTTGTTTTTTTGTTTTTTAAGACAGGATTTCTCTGTGGCTTTGGAGCCTGCCTGGCACTCACCCTATAGACTAGGCTGGCCTCGAACTCAGAGATCCACCTCCCAAGTGCTGGGATCAAAGGTGTACGCCACCAATGCCCAGCATAAATTCCTTCTTCTATAGTTAGAGCTTTTACAATCATAATAATAATTTTAAAAATCCCAGGTTTTCAGGGCTGGAGAGATGGCTCAGTGATTAAGTGTTCTTCCAGAGAACATGGGTTTCATTTCCAGCATCCATAACAACTGACAGCCAGCTGTAACTCCAGTTCCATGGGATAGATACAATGCCCTCTTCTGTCCCATATGAGTATGGTACATATGGTACACAACAAACATGCAGGCAAAAACACCCATACATAAAATTAAAATAATCCCAGACTCAAACACAATTTCAACACACTATCTCATACCAGGTTTCCCTAAACACTTGTGAGACCACCCGTCAATATAGAACTCAGTTTATTAAACGCCTGATGAGGACGGTGTGAAAATACCACCAAAGGAAAAGCTATCAAGGAGGCTTCAGGAACTCACAGCATGCTCTGTCGAGGATTTCCTCCCCACTAGTCAGGCAAGACAAAAGGATAGAGAGTAACATGGTCCCCAGCAATCTGCTGTCCCTCGCTCGGCCTGTGTGTCTGTATGCTTGGAAAGGTCGTCTCTAAGTTAAGAAACTGTGTACAGGGGCTGGAGAGATGGCTCACCAGTTAAGAGCACTGGCTGCTCTTCCAAAGGTTCTAAGTTCAATTCCCAACAACCACATGGTGGCTCACAACCAGCCGTAATGAGATCTGGTGTCCTCTTCTGGCCTGGAGGTGTACATGAAAGCACCGATTTGTTTTGCTGGTGATTTCTAAAGAACTATAGATAGATGAAACTGTTGAAGACTGGAAATCAAAAGCTTGTAATGGCAGTGTTTCTAATAATACGATGGGTAGCTTGGTCATCCTGTACGTCTGACAGTTCTGGTCAGCATTCTACAATTTGTTGCCTATCAGAGAGAATTCAGGGCATTCCTATCTAAAATCCTTCCACTCTTGGGAGTTATTGCTCAGTTTTCTGTAGTCTATATTTGCTGTACTAAAATGAAGAAAAGGGAGAAAAAAATACATCTAATAATGTAGAGACAAAATAGTTTCACAATGAGTGAGGTGATGCTCACCATTTTCTCTTCACCATTCAACAGAGGGGGCCATGCAGTAAGTATTAATCATGAGTGGTAGAGATGTAATTACATGCCTGTCCATCAGTTCAGCCTTAAAGCCCAGAATTTTTCACAGGGTCGGGAGATTAGCAAATAATAGATCAGAGACAGTTCTCTCTAGATTCTCTATCATTGGCCAGTTATTAAGACTGGCTGGCAAGTGATAGTGCATACCTTTAATCCCAGTACTTGTGAACCAGAGGCAGGTGGATCTCTATGAGTTCGAGGCCAGCCTGGTCTACAGAG